CAGGACCACGGGTCCTTCTGCCCCAAAGCTTTCAGTGTTTCCAAACGCTTTTCTGGAGTGCATGTCCCATTCCTGGGTGGTTCTGGGGCTCTGATCGCTCCATGGCACCAGGGGATGTGCCGAGCCGCCCTCCACAGTCCTCTGGGCTGCGAGGACCCCGGGCCGGGGCAGGATGGCGTGAGCCTTCTTCCCGGCCACACTGCACCGCGGACGATTCCACCACCTTCCACCTTCAGAAATCTCTAGACCGGAAACAGAAACCCTGCTACTTGCATCTCCCTGTGGCCCTGGGGCATAAGGCATCGGCCAGGGAAGGGGACCAGGTGCACTGGCCAGGTGAGTGGGTGTCCCGCAGCCTTCTCCCACCCCCAGAGGGTCGCGCCAGAAATACCAGAACCCTCTGAGCTGCTCTCCCTCCCTCACCTTCTGGTTTAAACTAGAGCAAGTCAGGTTTTTGTCACTTGCAATCAAAAGATTTCTGAGATCTCAGAAAGATGGCGGCGTAGGCAGGCATGGTTTGCCTCCTCGCACAACCACATCAGGATTACAACTAAAATGTAGAAGAACTGTCACACAGAACCGTCAAAAATCAAGCTGGATTATGGAATAAAGAAACCACATCCATCGAGACTGGTAGGGACAAAGATGCAGAATGGGCTGGCCCCACATCCACATGTGGTAGATAAAACTTCAGGAGGGATATCTTGGGAGCGAGGAGTCCCAGTCCCACACCAGGTCCCCAGCCCAGGGTTCCAGGGCCGGGGAGATAAGTCCCCACAACTTCTGGCTGCAAAAACCAGCAGGGATTGAGTTGGTGGAAGAAACTTCTGGAGCCCAGGCAGCTCGTCTTTGAAAACCCACACACAGACTCACCTACTCAGACTCACGCCCAGAGAGCTCCAGCGCGGAGGTGGCAGCATGAAGAGCTTCAGCGGTGCACAGGGAGAGGCTGAAGTGTGGCATTGGGGAGAGCGGAGGCCACTGTCCCTTTCGGAGCCCTCCCCCCGCAGAGCCATGGAGCTGGAGTTGGCAGAGGCTAGTGCCATATCTGAGACTCCACCAACCTGGCTAACACCGTTTGATCTGCCTTGGAGATCCTCAGAGACTCTGCCCCACCCAGTTTATAAACCCACCCAAGCTGCTTTTCCATATAAATGGCCGATCTTGGCTCTGCTTCACAGCTTCCTAAATCCTATCAAACAGTCAACAGCGGGCCTCAGTGAGCCCCAGGCCCGGCACTAGCAGCAGCCAGGTTAGATTCACCTGGTGAAGCTGGGCTTCACCTGGGCATCTCCAAGCCCAGCATGAGTAGCCGCCATCTCAGGTTGCTTTATAGCTCAGGCAGGGCGGCCCTGGGCAGAACACAGGAGGGGGCTGACCTTGGCCTGCATCACACAGGAAACCCCAGGGCCTGCGCACTCACTGGACAGCTACAGTCCACGTCAGGGCACCACCACCCTGCCCCTGCACCGCTGATCCTCCAAGAGGGGTGGAGGTTGGTGGTCAGTGGTCACAGCCAGTCCTTGCAGCTGACTGCTGGCCTGGGTAAATCTCTCCCATTGATCTGCCCACAGCAGCCAAAGCTCAACTGCAAGAGGAGGGTGTACTCAGCCCACATAGGGCGCACCTCAGTATCTAGCTTGGGTGATAGGGGAGGCTGTGCCACTGGACCCTACAGGACACTTACTGCTGGGAAACGCCCTGTCTGGTTTCAGGGACTGTAGCCCCGCCGACAGGCTGGAGGGCCCCAAGGCTGGAAATAATCAGGAGGCCTTGGAGAGGAGGCTCCTGAGGAGACCTAGCCTGTCCCCCTGGCAGGAGCGTGGCTCCTGCCTCTCTGCTTGGCCCTGTGATGGTCGTTTGTTGATGGTGGGTAAGACCCCTCGAGGGAGGGGCGACCTAAGCCAGACATCGGCCGGTACAGGAAGCGGACCAGAAATGGGAGGACAAGGAGAAAGGGCAAAGAGGCCCGCACCCCTCGGCTCGGCTTGGACATGGCCGGAGTCCTCTAGCGGGAAGCAGTCTCCTTGTCTCTTGGTAGCTGCCTCCCTGCGCCTGGCTTAGGCTGGAAACAATACAGGAATCAGCCCTAAGTCAGATCTGGTGGTTCCGGGGAAAATCAGGGCTAAAAGTAAATTCTTTAAACTGTACTTTGTTCTTCCCTCAAAAGCTCTAGCCAGCTCAGGCTGAGAAGGACATTTACATTATTCACAGATTCTAACCCTATACCCTTAGGCGCTCTTATGTTTACCATGCTCTCAAGTTTAGTCTCTCTCTTGTTTATACTAGTCTCCTCTCAGACCCACGTAAATCAGTGTATTCCCGCCATTTGTTTTCTTCAAAACATCACCCGTTCTCTGTGAACATTAACATGGATGTCATGAGCTAACCTGTGCATTCCTGTTAACCTAGCCCCACTGATAACCTTTTCAATAAAAGCCTTTGGACAAAGGGACTCGGAGCCTTGCCCACCAGAAGGCTGTGCCACTGCCTTCCCCACCGGGGGGAGGTGCCACGGGGCTTCTCCACTAAGGGGGAAGTGCCATGTCCCCTCTCCCAGCAAACAGAGAAGTGTTTGCGACAATTCGTGTTTATCCCCCTCATCCGTGACAACCTCCAGGCGGGCTCTGCAGAATCCAGAGCCCTGCTACCACCTCAGCTGGCCCCTGCCAGTTTCCCTCTGATTCAGGAAGCGCCACGCTCCCCTTGGCTCCACGCCGCCCCCAAGCGGCGGTTGGGGTGCTGCCCGGCCCGGAGGAGCGGCGACCCCAGTGGCACTCCCCGACGGCGGTGCGCCGCGTCTAGCCGCTGCGCAGCACAAAAACCTACTACATTAGGCCACACTACCAAGACAGGGCATCCTGACAGCGCTGCCTAATACATAGAAACAAAGACAGGGAGGCTGCCAGAACAAGGAGACAAAGAAACACGGCCCAAAGGAAAGAACAGAGCAAAACTCCAGAAAAAGAGCTAAACAAAATGGAGATAAGCAACCTATCAGATGCAGAGTTCAAAACGCTGGTTATAAGGATGCTCAAGGAGCTTAGTGAGGACCTCAACAGCATAAAAAAGATCCAGTCAGAAACAAAGGATTCAGTAATTTAAATAAAGGACAATTTATAGGGAAAAAACAGTAGAGTATATGAAGCTGAGAATCAAATCAATGATTTGAAACATAAGGAACCAAAAACAACCAACCTACTAATAAAGATATTAGTAGAAGATATAGAGGATAATTTACATAATTGTGGACTGGGACAGAGTTTCCTAAGAGCTGCACAAAGTCTAGTGGCCATAAAAGAAAAAATAGACAAATTTTATCTACATAAAAATCACTTGTGTATGATATAAGATAAATGATACAATAAGAACAACTTCCCCTCTCCCCCAAATATCAGGCTGGAGAAAACATTTGAAGTATTGTTATGTTTATAACAGGAAAGGGTTAATATTCCTAATATACCAAAAAGTCCCTACAAATAAAAATAAATACTTTTTTAAACAAGTAAAAGATATGAACAGGTCATTTCATCCAAAAATACAATTGAGTAATAGACTTAAAAGGATCCTCAGATTCACCAGAGGCCTGAGAAATGCAAATTAAAAAGAGGAACACCCTTTCACGTATCAGAGGATTAGACGTAAATATCATGATATCCAGCGTTGCCACAGAGAACAGAGAAGTTCTCACAGCAGCTGATGTAACCTTTTCAGGGTGATGGGACGGTATCCATTGCTATTTAATGTGAACAGAGCCATTGTCTTGGCAATTCCACTTCTAGAAATCTACCTGCAGAAATGCTTACGTAGGTACACAACAATGCGTGAAAGTGAGCAGCCACCCAAGTGTCAAGTGATAGGAGCTGGTTAGATAAATTGTATCCATTCTACAGAACACTGTATACCCCCACAAAAAAGAAGTGGGGAGCTCCCCGTGTCCCGGGGGGAGGATGCCCGCGACACAGTGTTGGTTTAAAAAGTCAACCTGTGGAACAATGTGTATCTGTCTGTCTATCATCCACCTCCGTCCCTCCCTCCCTCCCTCCCTGTCGACCTACCGACTTAGCCACCTGTTGTCAGGGCTTACACAGCATAAGGTCAAGAGCACAGGGTATGGAACCAGAACGCTGGGTTTGAGTCCTGGCCCTGCCACCTCCTAGCAGGGTGAACTGGGTGTGGGTGAGCCCCCTGCGCTTTCAGGGCACACGCAGTCGTACGAATTAGTGAGTTAGTGCCCGGAAAGCACTCGGGACCGCGCCCGGCATCTAGTGCTACAATGGCACAGTAACGATGTGCGTGCCCAGGCATTGAGAGCGGTCAGCCCAGGGGAACGAGTGGAGACCGGAGCACGTAATGGGGAGGCCCCCCCGCCATCTTGCTTTGCCTTTCTGTGTTTTTTTTTAAACTTCACAAGAGCACATATTACATTCCAGTGTTAAGAAGTGCGAAACAAAACGTTTAAAAACTGCATCTAGAAGGCACAGGATCCCTCGCTGCTGGAGATGGGCTTATTCTGTCAGAAAACTGGTCTGGAAGGTCCTCCTGCAGGATTAATGGGGAATCCAGAATTTGAGCTGCATCCCCGATTTCTTAGGGAGAGTATGGTTTGAAATGAATGGAGGACACAGGACAACTCTTTCGCCCCAGAACACAGAGAGTGGCACATAAGAATCAACCCCAAAGCCGCCCTCCTGGCTCACAGTCCCGGAGGGGAAGGTAATCCTGTTCGGAATCCCTGCCTTCCAGACACCCCGCACCGTACTTTCAGGCTTCTGCCTGCGCTTCCTCAACCACGAGCCCCATGGCCTCGGGGCCTTGGTTTCCTGCTGCCTCCACCTCCACGTTCCCCGGGCTTCCCCTTCGGTTGTTTTTGGCAGTGGTCCCCAGTCCCCGACACCCCGTGTGGATGCAGCGGTGGGTCGGAGTGCCCCAGTCCTCTCCACAGAGTTCCAATTTCCTCTGACAAGTGAGGACAAGCTGGGAAAGGGTCGGGATCTTACCTGGTAGGCTTTGTGTTAGGTTCCTTAATGAAGGAGGGCAGGGTGATCAGCAAGAAAACCGACATGGCCACAGCCAAGGGCCAGACGGCTTGGCGCAGACGGCTGGGCCTCCACAGGCACGACCTCATGGTGGTGCATCAGGCCCCCGGGAGACTGCTGTGCGTCCTGGGGCTTCGACACAGACAGCAGCGAGACTGACCGCTGGGCTATCTTGGGTTGGGGAGCACACGCCCTTTGTCCTCATAGTAACCACTCTGATAAACGCCAAGCTGTTCCACCTTTGCCAGGGGGAGGAGGAGCCACCTTGGCCGCTTTATGGAGGCTTACGGGCTGGCACAACTTGAAGGAAAACCCCTTCTGTTCAAACAAGTTCCCATTCCTTTTCTTTGTCACTGAAGCCAATTTCCGACGGTAGAGCTTTACGAGAAGCAGACACACGTTTGATGGAACGTCACGGTCATTAGGTTCCAAATCCCCCGGACCTCTGGACAAGGGCACAGGCCCGCAGAGCCTTGCGTGGCCTCCAAGCTCAACGTGAGTTTTACGGGAAGGACAGGGGGACCCATTAGGGGCGAGGCTGCCTCATGATCACTTCCCTGAGAGACCATCCTGAGTGTTTAGAGGAGCAGTTGTCAACCTTGGGTCACCGCAGAGTCACCTGAGAACCTTGGTAACGTCCTGACACCCAGGCTGCGCCCCAAACCAATGAAACTGGGCCCTTGAGGGACAGGTGTTTTTCCAGATGTGGGTATTTTCTCAGGTCTCCGGTGGACTCTTTCATGACCTCATTGATAACCACTGATTTATGGGCGTTAGAGCATTGCCAGAGAAGTGGCTATAAATAAGTAAGGTTGATTATACCATGTGCTCATCAGAAGCCGGTGCCAGGAACTGACCTTTGTGAGCTTCCCACGGAGTCGGGTGGTCTGCTGTCCTCTTCCTCTTACCTCGGACAAGTTCCTTAAACTTCTGGCCTCACCAACAAACAGGGAAAACGAAGCGTCTACCTTGTGGAGTATGAGGAAGGCACTATTGAAGGGCAGGCACTGCCCTGTAGTTCAGCCTTGTCCCCTGCAGCGGCGAGCAGGGCAACAGCCCGCACGCCCGCGGGCGCGCTCGGAGCCAGGCACCGCGGGGCGCCTCCCCACCCTCGCCCAGACTGTCAGCGGCCCCCCCGTCGCAGCCCAGGCAGTCACCCCTGAGGGCGAGCAGCCCTGCCAAGGTGGGGGAGCGAGCCTCTGGCTTGCGGACCAGATCAGCTGACCCGGAGGCTCGTCCTTACCCGGAGCACAGTGCACCCCTGAGAAATCGTGAACTCTGTCTTGACGTGAAAAGGAAAATACATAACACTTGGGACAAAGGGACAGCTCAGAGAAATGAGGTCAAGCTCAGTTGTAGAAAACAACACGTTCGGGGAAGCAGCAGGTTGTTCCCTTTAAACCTGTCACTCACAGCACATAGCGCTGGCACATAGAACAGGTGTTTTCAAGGAGGGATGTGGCACAGGTGTGGCTTGGAGGCGCTAAGCCCGCTGCTCACACGTGGCCTTTTCCTTTCCCCTGAATGCCATTTTCAATGCTGGACCCAAAGTCCTTGGCCTGGCCTAGGTGTGCACCCACAAATGCTCCAACAACCTCTCCCGGGAGGATGGAAGGGTCAGAATGTGGCTCTGAGCAGCCGAGAGGAATCCAGACAGCTGACAGGCTTCCTTTCCCCGTGCCTTTCGCTCGCTGTCTCCCGGGCGCTAGGTGGGGCGAAGAAAAGCCTGTCCTGGTGCCGATGCAGCCTGACTCTCTGAGCGCACCTGGCCCGTCAGCGCTCGCACGCAGGCTCTGTAAACAGCTTCTGAGCAGGCCTGAGTCAAGGCGCAGGTCCGCCCGGATTGACCCCTTTCCGAGTTCGCCTGCACACTTGGCTCAGGCATTTCCCCTCCGCCCGGGTGCCCGTGGGCAATGCGACGCCACCCAGGTGCACAGTGGGAAGGCACTTTCTTACCCACAGCACCGGTCTGAGTAAACAAAGAGTCTTTCTCACCTCACTTGTTGTCTGAAGAAGACACAGCTATCAGTGTTCCCACAGAGTGTGGAGGTCTCATTGACCTGTGGGGTGCAAGCTGAGCTATTGTGCACGACCTATGCTTCTACCCTCTTGGAGGGGGGCACTGAACTTGGGTGTTCAGGAAGCCAACGGTGGAGGCAGGATTGCCCCGAGTTCTAGCTTCCTGGTTCTTAGGTTCCAGCCCAATGCAGCTGGGTCGGGTGCCTTGACAGATCGGGAGTTGCAAAGCAACACAGATTTTAGTGGAAACTGACTTTCCAAAAGTTTTTAAAACATCGTCACAATTTGCATGTTTAATGAGGTCTACTTTCCTTTTTAAGCTAAAGCTTCTGACTTCAGTCTTTTTTTAAAGAAGATTTTATTTTTTTATTGTCACAGAGGCGAAGGGAGGGAGAAAGAGAGGGAGAGAAACATTAATGTGTGGTTGCCTCTCATGCCCCACTACTGGGGATCTGGCCTGCAACCTGGGCATGTGCCCTGACTGGGAATCGAACTGGTGACCCTTTGGTTCCCAGCACAGTACTCAGTCCAGTGAGCCACACCAGCTAGTGTGTTTCTCTCTTGCTCCTCTCTCTCCCCCCCCACCCTCCTTCTCTCTCTCTCTCTCATTTTTAATGCACCAGCTAATAGGATGTGTGAGAGCTGAAACACAGAGATGAGCTCTTAGGTGATGTTCAGAGAAAGGTAAGATCATGACCCTTATGTAGATACGAAACATGAAAACGTGTTTTAGATTTTATTCTACTCATGACAGACCCAGGCAGATGTGATAGCCGATTTAAAAGAGAAGTGCAGTAGCGTCAATGAATAGAGAGGAAGGATTATTAAATTGAATTGCAAATGGGGGCAGAGCTGGTTTTTCCACAAAGAAGAGGGGGTTTGCAAGGCCCCCAGCTATGCTCAATTTACAGAGCAGTAAAATAGCCCCGAGAGGAAGGGAGGTTAAGATCAGCGCCCCCGGAGGGCTGCTCTCCCGCGCTGCAGGGCGCGCCTGCGCAGCCGGCGTGTGCCCGCACCTCCTGGGCCCACCGGAGTCAGGGCCGCCCCGGGAGGGTGCTTTCCGGCTGTCTCTTTCCCTCATCTCTTTGCTACATTTATGGCTGGTCTGCTATTTTTTCTTGTTTCTACTGGTATCATACTCAAAATGCGCTTGCCCCTGAAGAGCCAGCCAATACAGCATCCAGACACTTGTCACTTCTGATTTCAAAGACATAGGACAGATGAAGAGGCCTTTCTCTGAGACCCGAACAGCTGTTCTTCGTGAAAGCCCATGTGGGCAGCTACGGGTCGTGCTCTGCCTGCCCTGAGCCCCAGGCCCAAGGGGTTAGGTGCACCCTGCTCTTCAGTAGGTTTGTGTTTGTATGTTTGGGTCGGGGGGCCTTCTGAAGCGCAAGGTCCAGGGAGGGGGCTCTTCCTGTCGGTGGCTACAGGGGACACTATCCTACACTCCCCTTTGGCCAAACTGTTTTTCCCTAGTTCGAATGCCCCTGCTTCCCAAAGACACACTAGTTACATTTGGCTTTGTAACGGGCTCCATTGGCATATCCATTTCTTAGAAGTTTCTCAGAGAACTACAAAGGCGATGATAATGCAGCTTGGTAAAAAGACAAAAATAGAGCTTTCACTCCTGACTCTTCGCTGCCCTCTGCGGGAGGAGGTGACGGAGGGTGCCCCAGGCCAGGACTCGGCAGTACCGCGGCTCCCCAGTCCTTCTGCAGTGCAGGGTGTTCCGCGGCCGGGTGGCCACGGCCGGCAGCGGCACCCGCCCTGCCGGGGGGGCCGGACGGGACGGCCTGCTGAGAGCCCCCCGGGTTGCTGCGGCCTTCCTCCCCGGCACCTGGGGAGGCCAGGCGGACCCTCACGAGCTTATCTGACGACATTCCTTCGGTCGCTGCGAGACACCAATGTCGACGAAAGAGGCCTCGTTCATTCTCTGAGCTGATCGCTTCCCTGTCTCCAGCACGTGCCAGTCACCCAGCCTCTCATGGCCTCTCCTTTTGGGGGGATGAGTCTGATGGAAGGAGGTGGACACCACAGCCCAGTCTCACGGTGACCGGTGCTACCCAAAGGAAACATGACATGAATTTTAAGTTTTTGCTGGTGAATCCATTTATTTTCTGTTTACTAGGAGATTTCTGCATGCTGGACTCCTGGGGTACGAACTGTAGACTGCCGTGTGACCATGTGACAGAGGACCTTCGGGGCGCTGAGGCTTTCAGGAGGGGGACCTAACCAGTGTGCGTGCAAGGCGGTTGCTCGTGCCACGTTCCCAGCGCGGCCGGTGAGGCCCCCAGGATAACATGGGGCAGAGCCACGCCCAGGCAGCCGCGGGAAGCTGAGGGAAGAGCAGAGCGGAAAACCGCCCTGGTCACAGCGAGCCCGGTGAGCGCCACCGGAGCCCCGCAGGGAAGGGCTGCGCACCCGTGGGCCAACCGCACTGTGTCCACCGGCAGCGCTAATAATCGTGGCGAAGGCGTCTTTGGGAGAGGTTTTCCGGGTTGACAGGAGACTGATTTTTAAGGCTATTTCCCCGACACCAGGCAGTGGTGGGGCTGCAGGTGCAGTGCTGAGCGACCCAAAGCGAGTCCTGGCCTCCGGGGCCGCCCTCCCGGGGCAGGGACGGGATGGAGTCACTTGATGAGGCAGTGACTGGAAAATGAGGGGGGCGAGGCGGAAGCAAAGCACAGGAGTGTGGAGCAGAACCTGGGATGAGCTGCAGAAACCAGAAGTGCAAGGTCGCGAGGCAGGCGCCTTTGCTGAATACAAAGGCAAACGCAGAGCAGGGCAAATGAAGGGAAGCAGGGTGGAGGGTGACCTCGTGTCAGAAAGAATTAAAACCAGTGACCCAGAAAAGCTCTCCACAAAGGTGGAGGAGAAAGAAAACAATTTTATCGTTGAGTAAGCACCCAGCCAGCGCTCCGTGGACGCCACAGAGATCGCACCCACTAAAAGATCGCAGACAAAGACAGCTCGCCCTTTTACATGGGCGGCCTGACACTTCTTCCAGGCGTGTTTGCGACCTGAACAATGACTGGTCCTTAAGCGGGAGGACTTGACGATGGTGTTTGTCACCCACAGGGTCCTAACTTCACTGGGTGGTTGGGGTGCTATCATCTTTGATTACATTTCAAAAAGATGCTCCTGGTCCTTAAGAAAGGCGCTCTGGCAAGAGGATTCTCTCGCTTTAAAAGGGTTTGTATACACTTCAA